CCAACAATTTAAAAATAAAAAATTACAGGGACCATCACAGGGGTATTAAGGACAGCTATGATAGGCTCAATAGGATTGCTGCCAAAGGACCAAAAAGTCAAGACTTTGTAGAGCCCAAAGTACAAGGCCTTTGGCGAATGGCAGTAGAATCAAACTTTTCTGCAGATGAATTAGCATCTTTGAAGGTTTGTGTCCTTTATATATTTTTCCTTATCTAAAATTGAAAAAAAATATGCTATCTCTTACAGTTCTTAATTTCTCATTGCAGACTGAGCTACTGCATTATGAAAACCGTCTACTTAAATTGCGTCATCTTCAAGCTGAGGCAGTTTTGGGGCAGGAGCGATATGGTGATAAGAAGCTTACTGGGCATAAAACTGATGGTGCTGAGTTGATGGAGGAGACAATTAAGAAGCATGCCAGGAAGGTGGAAAAACTGCATGACTACCTGGAAAAACGAATCTCTGCCAAACATTCTGAACTGTAGTAGAATTTCCGTTTGGTGTGTAAAGCACTGTTTAAAAATAAGCCTACAGCTCTCTGTGTCTCTGTGACCTACTTTTCAAGTATTATTTTTTTATAAAAGAATTTCAAATTGTAAAATTGGTGAAATCAAGCTTATGTTTGTAGAGTTTTCTCATAAATAGAATGTATCTGATGTTGCCAAAACTAGGTTCTTAAAAATGTTAAGCTGTTATTTTGGCATATTTCTTTAACTTAAGCACCAAAAATACATCTTTAGATTGCAATAGTTGCTTTTTGTTCTGTTTTGAATAGTAATAAGCCAGAACTTATTTTTATGCATGTATATTATATGTGTTCTATTGTTCTTTTAAGATTGTCCTTTTAAGGTCTCTGTGATGTCTTCTTATTCTTAATAATGTATCACTTTCACATTCTTCTTGGTCTTTAATAAGAAACTGTTGTTAGGTTTATATAGTTGTACTATGTTACATATGTTGTAATATTAATTGTTGTCTTAGACCGGTTCTGTGTCTGTGTTGTCCTGCAGTATTAATGTACTTGCGAACTATCTAAAGATATTGTTTTGTGAGGAATTAATGATGTGCAATCCTATGCCATATTGTCGTAAATATATCCATGTGTTTTCAAGAAATTCAAAATCAAGTGATTGATTTCAAAGCCCTTTATTGCCGTTATTGCGTGACGCACTAGCATTTGGTATATATATCCCGGCGGAAAAAAAAGAATCCCACAGCTGCATCCAAAAAGGTTTATTAACCAAAGCGGGAAGATGAGTTAATAGCCGTTTTCAGTGTGAAAACAGTGGAGCGCGCGTCGGCGCCTGGTGGGCCGGCAACCCATACAACCGTTGAGGCTCAGCTGTAACGGAACGCACGCACACGCACACACACACGCGCGCTCGGAGCCACCGCACCGGTGTAGGCAGCGCCTCGGCGCCGCACCCCTCCCCGCCCCGCCCGCCCCGCTGGCCGCGGCCGTCGGCGTTGCCACAATGCGGGGTGGGGCGGGGCGCGGGGCGTTCCTCCACGGCGGGTACCCCACTCCCGCTCCGCTCCGGTCGTGCTCCAGCGGCAGGCAGGTACGGGTAGGAGGGGCAGGGGAGGTGCGGAGGAAGGAAGTGGGTCCAGCAGGCCCGGCGGCCCGCGCGGCCAGCTCAGTCAGCGCGCGCGAGCGTACGGTCCTGGACGCCCTGGAGGCCGTGGAGCTGCTCGTCGGGCCGCGTTTGGGGGGCCGCGACGCCCCGCCAGGGCTGACGCCATGCTGTCCAACGGGGTGTCGAGCCGCGCGGCGCCGCTGTTCCGGCCGCCGCCGCCCGGCCGCCTGTTCGAGGACGACGACGACGAGGACTCGACCGACGAGTACGGCTCCTGCAGCGAGGCGCCACTCTACGAGAACGTGCACGACGACGAGGATGACGACGAGGACGAGGACGACGTCGGCGGGCAGGCCGTCTACGAGAACGTGGTGTTCGAACCACCCGCGTACAGCAACCTCCTCGGTGGTGGGCCGCGCCACCAGGACGAGAACGACGATGAGGACCTCGACGGCCAGGTGTACGCCAACGTGAACGTCCCCGAGCAGCCCACGTACGACGTGCCGCAGCAACAGCGGGCCGGCGCCGGCCAGCAGCCGTCACTGTACCAGCCCCAGGAGTACGCTAACCTTCCCAACGGACTCACGGCAGCTCTCCCAGCACCGGCGCCGTCCTCTGGAGGTGGGTGAGGCTCAACGTGAGCGCAGGGGGGCGCGTTGGGTTACATGCCCGAAGGCGGGCGTCCGCTGACCCTCCGAGCCGAGAAGTCACTACACCTGACTGACATTTCCCCGGTCCGGGTGGATGGCGCGACTGGACGAGACTGTTCGTGACACGGACCGACACCAACTCTCCGCCGAGCTCCAAAAGGACTGCGGTGCTCTCATAAAAGCTTGCTCTGAATTTCACCGTAAGCCACAGTAAACACTGCAGCACTGTAGCTTGACGGTCAATTTTTACCGTAAGCTACTGCGAATCTCCCTGTTAGTCACGGTTACGCACCCTGATTCACCGTATCTTACAGTGACATTCACACCGCCTAGCTCACAATATGACATTTACAGTAGCTTACGGTAAAAATTGATCATATAAGCTACGGTGCTGTGCAGGGTTATCCGTAAACTTGCGGTGAAATTTGCCGCAAGCTTTTATGAACAAGTGCGCGAGTGTGACATCGTCGTCCTCGAACAGGTCGCCGACGCCGTCGCGGTCGGGGGACACGGGGAGAAGGCGCAGAGAGGGGACGACCCGCGGCAAGGACCACGAGCAGCAGCGGGATGATAGAGATCCGATAGGAGTGAAAGGGGCCACTCGGAGGGTGGCGGGGCGGGGCGGGCCGAACTGCTGAAAAGAATGCGGTTGTGAACCGCAGCGCCGCGCAGCGCGCGTGAGGCGGCCAGGAGGCCAGCAAACCGCGGCGGCGCGGCGCTCGGTGCACAAACTCAAATAAAAAGAAACTTCTCCCCGCCCACGCCCAACCCAGGAGCCCAGCAGCCTCTAGACCACCCCCGAACAATGTGCGGTCAAAGTTACGTCTTACGTCGGTAGCGCGTTGAGATAACAAATAACAACAACGTTCCCCCAATGCATTGTACGCACTAAAGGCGCCCGCAATACCCCGTCCTTCGTCGAATCTCGGAGTCAAGCTGCTTGGCACATGAAGCGCGTGGCCTAACTC